TTCGAAACCCGTCTGGGCGAGAAAGGAACCCCATTGCAACCAGGCACCTGTGACGAAAGCATAGAACCTGTGGTCCCATTTACGAGCATCAACCAGTACACAAACTGTGTCAGATACCCACTCCGGCAAGCACAAGAAGGCCAGGAAGTCCTGTGATGGTTGTGGATCAACCGGAACGAGGTGTGCGAAGTAATCAACCATATACCCTTCCCTAACCTGATCCAGTGCTGCAACGACGGATGCTAGGGTGGTAGGACGTGCCGGGACCACATGTATGACCTCCGGGGCGCAATCTGGCGCACACAGCACAACATATCGCGCAGTCGGAGCCTCGGTGCTGGAGGATGCATTGGCCTCGTCCGCAACCATGAGCGTATTTGGGCTGTCAAAAGCTGGGGTCGTAGGCTCTGCTGTTGTCCAGTGGCAGGATTCCCCAGTAGAAAGACATGAACGTCTCGGGGAGGACTCTGCACCAGTGCATTGCGTGCTTAACGACTGAGGGGCACTCTCTACCGGGCCAAGGTCGGTAGGAATCGGCTTGAAGTCAAAGACTAAGACCATACCATCCTTAACATCAACTGTGTCGGCTGCAGGCGGAAGGCCTTCGATGATCGGGAGAAAGCCAGCCGGAGGCCTGATGGCCAGGTAGCGGAAAAGGTGCTGCACCTCTCGGGGCCCTTCGGACCCAAAAATGAAGGCGATGTCCTTGCCAACCTTCCGTGCGTCCAAGAAGACGAAGGTGCCAAGGTTTGGGCCCGGTGGCAAGTTTTCACACCGAGGCGCGACCGCTGTAACGAATTCGCAATGGAAACCCTGATACTCCACATGTGTGAGGGTGTGCTCGGGTATCGGATTGCAAAATGAAAGATGGTCCTTATGTCTGAACTTGTGCGAAGCAACCTCAACCTGAAAGTCGGCGTAGCAGTTAACGCAGAGGGGCTTGCAGTGGTCCTCGAATACTGCCAGCCAGGCCTTGGGCGCTCGCGCAGGGGGCTGGGGATCCAGCCGCGTCCGGATCTGCAGGAGATCCTCCATAACTGAAGGAAACCATTTTGGACTTGAGTCTTTCGGGACAAACTTAAAGACCTGGCCAGATCTCACTTGGAGGGGCTGGCCCGGTGACAGCGGTCGATAGGTATTCCCGCTAAACACGTCCCACGGACCTGTGGCATGTAGCGCTGCCAGGTGCTCGAGTTCATGAAAGAAAACCATGGACCCTACAAAGCCCGAGAAAATAGGTCCCCCAAAGTTGCTAAAGTCGAAGACAACCACAGCTCTCATGGAGACAGTTGTCCAGGGCGGCAGGGGAATGCAGGTGATTGATCCCTCGCTCGGCTGAGGCACTACCGGTACCAAGCTTGCTTCACTGTCCTCAATTCCCAGGCTACTAGCAACCATGGGGAGGAGGTCCTGCATCTGAAGGCATTGGTCGGTCACATGCACCATTCTGGACTCAAAACCTGGCCTAAGCACTAACACCCGAATCGAAGGCAGCGGCACTTCCTCGCCCTGTGCCTCCAGTAGGGCCGAGGATTGCACTTGTGCAACAGCACTGTTCCAAAAGGCCGCTTCGCTGGCTTCTGTAGGTGGTAAAGAGACTGCCTGAAGGGATGCATCCTCGGCTGAGGTTGCAGAGGGCAGGCCTCCAATTTCTGCCAAGAGGGAAATCCCAGGCGGCGCAGACCAGATACACTGTGGCAAATTCCAGAGGAGGAGAAACCGGAGAAGACCATGACTCCCAAATCCAGATGGACGGATGGGCCAGCGACGCCTGGTGGAAGACCTGCCTTTCCTATCTCGATGTGGACTCCAATCAAGGATCGGCTTGGACAGGCAAGAGCCGGAGAGGCACAGTGCCAGCTTGGCAGGAACGCAAAAGAAGGGATAGCTGCATACCCTCGCCAGAGGGGAGGATTGCGCCTGCCAGGCTGTAATCCATAGTCTGAGCAGACTGCACAGGAGGCACAGTGCAAGGCTTCGAGCACAAGACTCGCAGAGGCACCCCAAAAGATGCATGAAATCCACAAGCCAATCCAAGGAGTCAGGGGGCCGTATGGTAGTACCGACAAGCATTGCGTCGAAAGTGTGGGCTGCCACCCCTGAGCTACCGATGTGGCTATTAAGCGCTCCACGAACAAAACTCGACGAACTCGGAGAGATGTGCTGGATGAACAAAGTCTTCCGACGATAGGTTCTAAGGAAACCTAGATCTGCCGTGCAAGACCTATTCAAACGGAAAAGGCTTGGGTGGGCTGTCGCCCCAGAGCTACCGATGCGACTATTAAGCGCTCCACCAGAAACAAAACAAATTGCCTGCCAGCATTGCCGTGTCAAAGCACTGGCAGCAAGACGTGGCGGGGGAAGACAAAGCAGTACCACAAACCAAGGAACTGCCAGCCTTCGCGAGGAAGAAGCAAACCCGGAGGCCTTGAGTATTTCAAAGAAAAACCTCAAAGCTCCCCGACCGCAGCGAGAAGAAGTGGAGGCAAAGGAAGTGTGCAATAATGCCACACAGGGCTGGAGTCCTCCTTCAAATAGTGGGCTGTACAGTAAACCACAGCTGTACATACCTACTCTAAGTACGGGCTCTGGTCGTGCATGGCGAGCACCGGCCCTCCATGGATCTTGCCCTGCGGAGAACTGGCGGTAGCAGATGGCGACACCCAAGTCATCTGCGACTGTCGGCCCCTCAAGGCGATCTCTGTAGAGGTCGTACCCCCAATCACAACGAGGCCCATACAACCGTGTCACTCCATCGTCCTGAGTTCGCCGTCCGATCCGAAGATCTCCGCCTCGTCGAGCTCGTCCCCATCGTCGTCCAGGAGCACGGAACACCTGGCACTCGCGGTCAGCTCTGTCTGCGCTGCTTCCTGGTGATCGGCGAGGGCTGCCTCCATTTCGCGACGCCGGAGGGCGTCTAGTTTTTCTCCCAAGCTGCTGGCACATGGCGTGGGCGTAGGAGCCGGATTCTTGGCTGCCTCTTTGATGCCAAGTCTGGGCGCCTCCTGTGCTGTAGGTCTCCGCTGAGAGCGAACCGGACGTTGCCCGGTGCGCGTACCCGGCGACACGTTGTGTCCGCTGTGTACCTCTCTTTTCGGTTCTTCCGCGGCCGACAAGCCACCATGTATAGCCACTGTAGTCGGAGAGGCAATGTAGGGATCGATCAGCGCCGGCGAAGCAGACTGGGAGATTGAAGGCGGCGTCATGGGAGGGGAAGTGCGCGGCCGAGTATGGGGCGTCACAGGAGCCGGAAGTCCTGGCGGAGCATCCTCTCCCGTAGTCCTGGCCACACTGGCCGGAATTGATTTCGCCGCTGCCACAAGTCGTCCCAGCTCTTGAAGTATGCCTTCGCCACTGGGAGGCTCCGCTGGCCCTTCTCCCATCGCCTTTTCCCACTCGTCTATCTCCATAGCAGCTGTCTGCTCGATGTCCGGCACAATGGCCCCCAACTGGGCGTGCGCCGAAGCTTGCTGCATCTTGGCTTCTTGTAGCTCGGCTTCGAGCTTGCTGCAGTCCTGCTGGTACCTCAACTTTTCCTTCCGAAAGCTTTGCCTCATGCAAGAGACGTACCTGGTCCAGCATTCCTGGCGGGACTGGAGGTCCTTCTGCAACTTCACTGCCTTGGCATCCAGCTTGCGCGTATGATTGACCGCGGCTTGCACGACTTGCACTAAGGTGCGTCCGCCTGTCGGCTTCGTCGTCTCTGTCCTCCTCACCGCCACTTCTGTAATGCCACTGGGGTCGCTGGGCATAGCATCGTAGGCCGGAAAGGGGCCATGTGCAGGTTTGGTCACATCCACCTGCTGTCTGGACGGCTTGGCTGGTGATTGTCGCGAGCCACGCCAGTATCCCCATCTTGCCTGCGAATTGTCTCCACCCTGATGCCATGGTCTGGCCTGCTTGCCCATCCGTTGGGACACTTGTCTGCGGGTGGCCCGAGATGTGGAGTGATGCCTCAGGAGGACACACAGCTGTAGGCGGGTGGCCGGGAGGCCTGTCCGTAGGGAATGGCGTGCTTTGGAGCGTTTAGCTCGCAAGCGCCGGTGCCACGACGGAGAAGGCGGCGCTATGGTCGGACACAAAGGTCCTGGGGCCTCTACGATGTTCCTACCGCCTGCTGGTAGGCAATTCGGGCCCTAAGGAGCCGGATTGGTAATTATTTAGGCAATTTAGGCTCCTACATTAGCTTTGCGGCTTGCAAGATTCAAGATGAAGAACTGGAGCATGTTCGGGTGTTGAACCTGTTTTGGCTTTGTGCCGGCGACTTTTGATAGAACATGTTAAGGTTTGAAGAAACCCTTACAGTACAGGAACCCTTCAAGGAATCCTTACAGGAGCCGCTTGAAGTAACACCCTAAAAGAGCCCTGAAAGGAAACCTGAAAGGCGCTCCTGTACTCTGATATAGCCCAAGACCACAATTCTAAATATCAAAGCTGTTGCAGTAGGGTGCTGGCATCGAGGCCCAGTGATTTGGTTGCTTGCAGGGTGCGTAGGGAGAGGCTTCATGTAGCAGTAGGCACTGCTAACCTCAACGACCCTTAAACCTCTTCTCTCGCTTCGAGGTGTAATGGACTTTAGGAAGCTTCTTAGTATAGCTACACGTTAATACACCCCACAACTCCAAAGCTCTGCTCTTCAGGCACCGACATGACCCCGTGACAAAAGGGGATAGAGGGAGCGCAAACTCCGGAATGTAGCAGACTCAGTCAGCACAGCCAGTCTCAAAGGTGCAAACAAGCTTCGCAAAGAAAACCCCAAACCCAAAACCCCTACCGCCAAAACCCCCTTAATACGATTTCGGGTTTAGGAGTTTAGGGTTGTTGAATTAATGGGTTTTAGGGTTTTGGCTAGGATTCCCAAAGCACCTCAAGGGAAGAGTCCTTGCAACCCCCCACCCCGCCCCCACATAGAATCTTGAACCCCTAACCCCATCCCCCCTTTAAAGATTTCAACCGCTACAGCTGGCGGAGAAAAACTGCAAGGAGGATGAGGACCCCGCCAGGGCCCTTCGAGCATCGACGAAGGATCCTCGAGAAGATGTCTGCAAACTGTCATTATGGTTGCACTGGTAGCATCACTATTTTTCACACTATTGGCACAGTGTTCTCCTCACAACAGTCCCTGATGACCATCATTGAAGCTCACGCAGGCTGAGTTCTGTGTGTTTGTGTTGTGATTTTGATATGGGTTTCTCCGCGAGCCTGGCCGTAATTAAATGTTTCCAGGGCTAAGTCAAAAACCCAAGCCCGCATGGCAGCCTCAATGATTCTACTACTGCTCATACCACCGCTCGTACTCCTGCTGTTGCTGTGACAACCACGACAACGAAGGCGGAGATGACGACCACGAAGATGACAAACACGGCGACGATGGCACGAACTGCATCCTAGCGCTTCTCCTGAGTCTGTAGATTAGCCATGGAACCCACGTAGTAGCACTGGAAAGGGGAACATTGGTGGCAACTGAATACAATGGTGATGATGGCAGCAATGAGAACGGTGCTGATGACCGCGACGACGACAACTGCGTCAACATAGATTGTTCTCACGCGTGTGCTTGTCGTCGCCTTTTCTGCTCGCGTTAACGCGACCGCATCGTCATCACTAGGACACTAGGATCTCGGTTACAGTAACTTTGTCGGCCATCAACATCACGTCGCCACACGTATGACCAGCTGGATCACCATGCTCGCAGACATCAGCACCGTCGTCTCATCATCGTCATCATCATGGTCGCAATCGTAACACCATCAGCGTCAACACCATTAGGTCACGTCATCTGTTCACCACAATGCCGCTTGCTTCGTGAGTCATCCTTATAGTCCTACACAGCCATCATGACAGTCACCAACCTAAGAGCCGTGTGTGCAGGAGGGCCTCACCAATCGCACGGCCCAGCAGCACTTCCATCCTCTCCTGATATCAGTCTTCGTTGCAAAACAAAGGCGACTACTGCCGCTACAGTACCACCGAAAGTGCGAGGGTACAGTTAAATACTGAGCTATTCTGAGAAGGTAGGACGGTTTACCAATTTCGCAGTCTAAGCGCATGAGGGCTGAGGTTGGATATCCATTTAAACACACCACCTTTCCTCGCTTGTTCTTCTTTCGTTCATTCACGCATTCGCTTCTCACCGCTTTATTTGTAATGAACGAAAGAAGCACAAGAAGAGGAAAGAACAGAACAAAATAAACAAGCGAACATAGCGGTCGTTCCTGGTTCTTTGTTCTCTTTCAATTATAGAAACGAAAGCGTGGTTTAATTGAATGAAACAAAAGAACCAGGGGAAAAAGAGAAATGAAACAAAGAGAGCGTGCTTCGTTTCACTCATTACCTCTTCTTTGTTTCCTTTCGGCTTTTTCCTTCTCCTTTAAATATAATGTAATGTAAGAAAGGAAGGAACGAAATGAACGAACTAAACGAATAAAACACAAGCGAATGAAATGAACGCGTGGTTTTATTTCGTTTCGTTCTTTTCGTTCACTTCTCTTTCTCTGAACCCGGATCTTTTGGCAAAGAACGTTTAGGATGATTCTGCGAATTGTCTGGCTTTCTAAGCTACTGTAGCAGCCTCGGGTTGGCTTCCCCGTAAACCCACACTAAACCCTAAGGTGAGCCTACAGGTTGTGGAGAAGGCACCCCTTGCACGACGGAGCCGACGGCCCAGAAGCCACCGACGACCCGGTAGCTTTGGAAGGACGCCCAAATAGTAAGGCAGGCACATGAGGAGGCCTAGAATCGAAAGAAGGCACTTAGGCTGCCGGGCTTACACAGGCAGTGCCCAGCGGGCTGAGGGTGAGATCGGGACGAGCCGTACAGCAAAAGCAGACTGGCGCTCAACCGCAAACCTGCACCGTGCAGACTACAATTCCTTGTGTCTCCACTCGACCAAACCTCCTCTCTAGCGGTGATCAGCATAGAAACCTTAACCGACCCTAAACCCTAGGCCCTCAACCCGAAACTATTCCGCTGCGTCTTGCTGCCAAGGCACGCCGGTCTTCAGCTTCCATGCAGTCACGCGGGTGCCTGCAAACCAGCAAAGAACAATTTGTCTCGTAGCGTGAGTAGCAGTAGTAGTAGTAGTAGTAGTAGTAGTAGCAGCAGTAGTAGTCGTCGTCGTCGTCGTGGTCTTGTTGTTAATTATTATACAAATAAATGAGGTTTCGGAAGCCTGAATGACAAATAAAGGTTCAGGGCTCATGGGGTTTAGAAGCGTCTTTTCAAGAGTTTACGGTTTTGGGCTGTCTGGGGATCATAGGGATTAGCCGGGTCCTCTCTTGGGTAATATGGGGGGCCTTTAAGCGACAAGACGGGTTCGCCATTGAGGATCTAGGGCCGAGGATTATCGAATGAAGGTACCTCAGCCTATAGAATCCAGGTTTAAGGTTCGGGATCTTCAATATTCATATATATATATATATATATATTATAGTCTGTCTACGAAAACACTCAAGGATGCCAAAATCCGTTGTAAGGAATATTTCGAAGTAAACTGAACAAGGGCTCCTTGACAACTGTCCCTTCAGGAAGGGAGGAATCGTTGGGCCTTCATGAAGGGAGGAGCCTTTAGGCTTTCTAGATAGCCTTTGAAGAGGACAGATTCCTAAAAACATCTTACAGCTTAATACGGCTCGTACTCAAATCAACGGAGCGTTTACCCGGTTTCTCGGCATTCCATGAGTATGACAGGGACCGGAGGAATCATCACAACTAATTTCCGCTTCAAGTTGGCTTGGGGGGCAGGGCTGGGGCGCCACTTCTTCAGTATACTGTTGACTAGTCCACATCATAGCGGTTTAGGATTTAGGGTTTAGGGCTTACTGTTACCATACCCGAAGCCCCGCATCGCAAAGCGCCAAACTCCGACACCAAAAGACGTCTGAACGGGCGCCACAGAGCCCTCGACCCTACGTCCCAAAGCCTGCCAGTCTCGTTCTACCTCCTTTCAGCCGTCCTACAACCCCAAGAACCCAAAGCCGAACTTCAGCGTAGCAGAGGGGCCAATGTAACTCGGGACGGCCTTCTGCCAGTTCAGGTATATCCACCAACAGCAACCATTTTCACATGTGACTCTTGTAAACATACTGGGCCAAGGGACTGTTACGGTAAGGGGATTGAGGGAACCTACAATCGCAGATTATGTATATAGGAAGGAGTGCAGATGCCTGGCGAAGCGGAGCAGCTGGAAGCCTCATCCGCACGAGGCCGGGAAAGTATGAGAGCAACAAGAGACGGAAAACACCTCAACATCGTAGACCTTCCCGGACTACAAGTTATCAAAGGATTCCAACTAATAATTTAGTTCACCTACAATGGTATCTTATAGGTCACTTGTAATGGAATAACGAAGAGGCCAAGGGAAAGCCAACAGGGGTGGAGCATAAGCCACTATGGTTTGTGCCACGATAGGCAACTATCGAAGACCCAACGAAAATGGGATGTATGGTAGTTTCACTTCAGGAACTAAACCCGAAACCCCAAGCCCTAGACCTCGAACGCTAAACCCAAAAGCCCTAAACCCACCCTGATAGTCGGTTCTGAGCTGAACGGCTCTAGATTGCCCGAGGCAGGGCTGCCAAGCCCTAGGCTCGAAAACAGCCTGAGTTACTGTAGGGGCCTTAATTAATAATCAGAATAGGGTTTTGGGGTCCCTTATACTATAATTAGAAAGAGGAACCCCCAAAATAGTATATGTAATTATTTAGGCCCCCATATTAGGGTTTAGGGGTTGAGGGTTTAGTTGTTTAGGGCTCTCGGCCCGGAATGAAAAGCCCAGAGAATGCTTGTTCCTACTCCTGACGCTTGAAACACACAGACAGCCCAGGGCCCGTAGCATGCATACCCCCGCTCCATGAATTTGAACCACTGGGCCCTCAACTGGGCCTGCCAATGAACAACCTTGCAGCGCATACCAGATCCCCGGTTTAGTTCGGCCCAAACAAGATTGCACTCGTTTCCTCCTGGTAGATTTCACACATTTGTTGAAATTTAAGGCATGCAAGAATGATAAAGCATTATACAACTAGTATCAGTAACACCAATCCCGACCCTAAAACTAAGACCTCAACCAACCCCTCGCAGCCCTGAGATTCAGGAAAATGTCTGCCGGACCTGGGCAGGAACCGTGCGCACGGAGATGAGGAGACCCCTCACCGACACGAGCCTGCGGCTTTGGAGCTACTATAGGGGCCTTAATAATTAGAATCGGGTCATGGGGCCCATTATACCATACAAATAATAAGGAACCACCAAAATAGTATAGGTAATTATTAAGGTGGGCATCAAACCAGTACTTGGACAATGGGTGACTGGGCATGCAGAGTTGTGCGGACAGTTGCCTGTAGTATTACCTACTATTATACCCCTCTGAAAGCTAAACCCGAAACTATGGGTTGGCAATCCGTCCTCCTGAACTCTACTCCTCTAGGCCATGACGATGACAATGACGACGGCAACCGTCATGGTAACGACAGGTATTAAGGGCTGCTGGTGTTGGCGATGATGATGATAATGATGACGATGATGATGATGACGGCGACGATGATGTTGGTGGTGATACTGATGACCTGGGGACTGTAGCTGTCTACGCCTTTCTGGGCTGATTACTACCAGCTTCGAGGTTGCAGCCATTTATCACTGCTCAAACATGATGACCCTTCTAATTCTCCGGTTTAGGGTTTAGGGTTTAGGGTTTAGGGTTTAGGGTTCCTCCTCCTCCTCATCATCACGCCCCTCAGACCCCGATTGTCATCATGATCTCTCGGTTTGGAAGCCTCGTGGACTCCTCCAGGCATTGACGTTCCCCAAAGGGCCTTTGTCTAACACCCCCAAAAGTAGAACCCGGAGCAGCAGGACGTGAATCTCCAATGTAGGGGCCTTAATTAGAATAGGGTTTTGGGGTATATTATACTATAGCTATAACTTCTAATAAGGAATCCCCCCCCCCCAAAAAAATAGTATAGGTAATTATCCAGGCCCCTTTTTTTAAACCGACCCCCACATCTCTGCCTCTCTGGCTGTCGGTCTGGAAGACTGAGAGCTGATTCCACCTTCACACGACAAGGTTAGGGCTTTCTCAAGGGTTTAGGGGTTGAGGGTTTAGGGCCTTCTTGAGGTTTTTAGGGGTTTCGGGGTTTAGGGGCCTGGTGATTTGGGGTTAAGACTTTAGCGGTTTCGGGCGAAGTGTTCCGGTGTAGGGTTCGGAATTTGTACCCGTCCAAGCGGTGGATGTCATGTCTAGAAAGGGGCGCGCTCGTGGTGCTAAAGTATGGCAGCCCGCGATCGAAAACAAAGCAGCATGTCCCCTACCACAGAAACTTGGCCGGGCTAATCGCTACGGGTTTAGGGTTTAGCGGTTATATGGTTTAGGGGTTTGGGTTAGGGTTAAGGGTTTAGTTGTCCAGGGTTTGGGTTTAGTTAGGGGTTTTATGGCTTAGGGGATTAGGGTTTGGGGTTTAGGGCTCTAGGGGTTGACGGATTAGCAATGATAACATGGTCATCGCATTCTTACGGATTAGCGTTGATAATCTGGTCATCGTATTGTAGCAAATCTCCTCCTTCTCTGAGGCTTCAATGGCCCTTCCCCGCACGCAGTGTAGTGTCTGTATGGAGAACCCAAACAAGTAAACTTAAACCGGTGTTAACTAATCAAGGGTCATTACCTACAGGATCCTACCTTCAGTGTACCGTCATGTGGGATATTTGTTCGAAATATGCATGCCGAAGCCCTCAAAACCTATATAAACCCAAACCCTACCTGGTGAGGCTCTTCGAGTCTCTCCTGGTAGCACCTGTTGGTGTAGAGCAGACATGAGAAAGTTAGACAAAACCTGAGAAACTGTCGGAACTTGGGTCTTTAGGAAGAAGCAGAAGGGGTCGCTAAACATCCGCCTACCTAGGGTTGGTATTCGGAGGCAACTCGCTGTTGAAAACTCCGCATGCCTTGTCTTGAACCCAAACACCCGAGATTCAGAAGACATCCCAATACTCTTCGACGTGCTGCCTCGTAGGCCGGTCGCAGAACACGACTGCCTACCAGGGTACATGCTTTGGGATAGGGGTCCTCGCATGTAATGAAGCCTTGCTACTGGTCATATTGAGTAGTATTATTAATCATCGCCGTCGGTAACTTGTATACGATGTGTAAAATGTTTCATAAACACCTCGTCATTGTCACCTTTTGTTAAATTACAGTATAAAAAGCTATGGGGTTCGCTTGTTGCATCTTTCTAGATTTCTAAGAGTAGTCTGTTTGCTTCGGCTATGTTTTTGGCATCTGCTAACATCTTCCTAGTAATAAGCATCGCCGATAATGCTTCTACCACTGTCTCTATTTCTTTATAGTTTCTCACCTTGAAGAAAAACAGCTGACGACTATTGACTCGTATAATTCGTGAGAGTGCCCGATCTTGTTATCACGGTCAGAGCGTTATGTCTACCTCTCACCTAAAGTTGATTCAACAAACTTGAATGTCTGCTAAATTTTTCATTGTCCGCCATACCACCAATAACAAGAAGGCAAGAAAATAACTTCGTGTGATCGTTTTTCTTCAGATACTCCATTATGATGTGTGTCTATCACCTTTTCTAAATCATTGGGAGAATACTCCTCAAAGAAGCAAGTCGCTTTTTCCGTGTCGACTTTCATTTCGTTCTTAATGTATGATTTTACAGGGATGCAAATATTGCCTACGTTTATTGAAGGCGACCAGATGTATATACGACTAAAGCAATTTCTATACAAGATCATAAACTGAAGTAACTGAGTTTTACCAGAACCGCTAGGCGCGGGAATGATCATAGAAGCAGGTAGCTTTGGTGCTACTTCGTGCTTACTTTGTGTGACTGTGTATTCTTTAGTTTTGTATGGTTTAACAATTCGTATATCCATTATTTTAAGCAGAGAAGAGGATATATGATTTCATGTAATGAACAAGTATTTAGAGACGATAAATGATATTGAGGAAACCGAGAAGGTTGTAATACAAGACGCCAGGCTTAAAAAGGTGTTGCACCGCTTCTTTAGAATTGCCTAAGATAGTTTTTGAATATTTATAAAAATCTAAGAAAGGTTAATGAATGACAACCATAGGGAATCTAACGAAGGTGGCTTCCACTTAAACACAGATGGGATAAATTGTTTACCTTGCACATGTAAAAAGAAGACTTTTCATAAAGAAACTAAGATAAATAACGAAGGTAAAACTATAATTGAAGACAGGGGTAGTTGGAAAATGGGGACAGGAATTACTCCCGATGAAAACGACAAATTTAAACCAAACCCACAAGACAATGAAGGTGCTGATACAGCTACCACCGGATGGGGATCAGGAAAGCCTACCCCAGAAGAGAGATTAGAAAAAGCGGAGGAGGATGTTGAAAGGATAGACAAAGATGCAATTATTTTGAAGAATAACTTAAATATGATGGATTGGTATATAAAAAGTATTGTATAATGAAGTTTGGCAGTGTATAGTTCCACTGCCCAAACATCACAAGAAGATCAGGTCCCATTGCTCCTGTGTGTGATGAACAGATTCATAAGCACACCATAAGAGTGTGGAAATGATATTAATTCGTAGTTACTTTCATTAAACCTTAAAGTAAAAGTTTTTGTTACAAATAGATATATTTATAACAATATTCTAACATATGATATTAACAATGCCAATTAAAGCAAATAAATATTAGCTGATTTTGAACCGTATAGCAAACCAATTAATATTGTTACTAGGAAGTGTTATCGTTGTAAGCAAGTCGAAGACATTGATTGTTTCAAGCGTTGCTATTACACTGGCAAGCATTCTAATCATTATGTTAAATACATTGAGGAAAATGACTTAAAGAAATAACACCCATATATATATATATATATATTATCGTGGAAATGAGTGACAGTGAAAATGCGAGTCAGAGTGAATATGAAAGTGAGAGTGAATGTGAAAGTGAAAGTGATGATGAAACATATCTGTTTTATAATGAAATACACAATTTTAAGTATTTAAATAACTGCGATAAGTGCATCTCAGCTAAGAGCAGACAGAGAATTTTACTAGGTAAATGTGATGTCCTAGGTATCTGTAAAGATCAGATTGCAAGTTACTATGATTGCGACAAATGTTGGAAGTTAAGGGGTTTGTTTGATGGTTACATGTGTCCGTTAACTGAATTAAATAAAAACCCAGAAAATGATGAAGTCATAAAATCATGCGAATTGATGTTCAAAAGAAATATGATACACTTGAGTTACATAGTGAAATGAAACCAATGTATGAGAATCTAGGCACATTTGACTTCTGTAAATGGCATCAGGAGAAAAGAACCATTTCAAAGATATTTTATGTGGTTTTTGGTTATTATAGAAGAGTAAAACTAGATCTTTATTAAGATAATATGTTTTTATTTACAACATGATACAATAATTTGCATTTACAAGCAACATCACGGCTCTTAGATGAGATGATCGTTCAAAAACAGTAGTATCTACCCAAACTGCATAGTTATAATGTTATGACAATACATAAGCAGTTATAACTGATAATTACAGCATAGTTGTAACATTCTTGGAGAATCCGAGTAGAATGAGTGACTGCTGAACCCTTCACCCTAAACCCTGAACCAAATTCCATAAGCAACCCCTTGCCTATTTTGCGCTATGGCACCTAGGGACCTAGGTAGTAAAACAGCTCTCTTAGGATAGACACTTATCTTTTTGGGGTGGGTGGTGCCGATAGCCGAAAATAGGCAAGGTATGCTCTAACTGTTAAACCGTCAACCCTAACCCACCCTAAACCCTAAACCCTAAACCCTAACCCTACCGCGCCCCGCCACAAAAGCCGGCACCTTCCAGTGAAACCCGCAGCGAAAGGAGCTCTCCCTGGCTGCGAGGACATAGGGTTCTGAGTTATAACAGCGATAATACTGCTAGTAATTATGCTACTACTACTGCTACTACTACCACTACTACTACTACTACTGCTACTGCTACTGCTACTACTACGACTACTGCTGCTACTACTACTACTACTACTACTACTACTACTACTAGTACGACTACTACTACTACTACTACTACTACTGCTACTACTACTACTACGACTGCTACTACTACTACCAATGATGATAAAGTAGCAGTAAGGCCAAGAAAGATCATGCTAAGGTGCAGGCTTGGTTTCGTCATGTTCAGGCCTTAGGTTGGGCCACAAGCGCAAGAACTGGCCCGCTGTTGTTGAAAACTCTCTTGTCTAGGGTTTAAAATGTCTGGTTTAGGGTTTAGGCTTTAGGGTTTCGGGGTTGGGGCTAATCATGTTTAATCCTTAATGGGTTTTAAGTATTACCACAAAACTGTAAAATCTTGAACCTTGTGCATTGTGAACGAGCGCATGTTGTCTCTGCCAACGCATCCTCTAACAGGGAGGCAAAAGACCCCAGCTTCCGATCAAAAGCCTAAACCACGTAATCAAAAGCACACACCCTATATCTCATAAGTACGAACCCTGAACCCTGTAGACTCCTGTAGCATGAAGCCCACATGCATACCATGAAGCCGCACTGTTTCAGAATTGCGCCTCACGGTTCCGAGCAAACACTTCCAAGTTGCGCTGCCGCACTCCTGTGGGAGGATGGGCTTAGGCTTTAGGGTTGAGTCTAGGGTCTTTACGGTTCTGATGCAATGGACGCAACTAGTTCTGGATTGCCGTTGGGCCTGTTAGGGCTCGACTTCCTCGCTCGGTAACGGTATGTCTCAACAAGCCCTGGCTTCAAGAGCCCTACACTCTAAACAAAAGAAAGGGGCGCTGGGGAGCAAGGCTGCGGACCCTCTGATGACTTTTCGTCGAATGCACGGGGACTTGACAAGTAGAATTAAGGCTTCATAATACGCAAACATCGGGTTTTGGGGTTGTGGCGCGCGTTGGGGTTCGAGTGTTGAGGGCTTTCCGATTCTCTAGAAAACTATTTAAATTCTTTGGACTCCCGGATCGAAGGAATCCAAGAAGCCCAGGAAATAAGGATTGGCCGGCTCTTGAAATCCTAGCCTCCCCTAGATGAGTTGGCGGCACATTCCCTTTGAAGATATGACTCGCTGAGCATACTCGTGAAATCACACTATGCTTATCTCTCAGACGGTTCAAACTAGAGAATGTAGGACTTTCTCAGAAAGGCTCGGAAGGAACCAACACCTGACAAGGATCGGGGCGCAAGAAGATAGCAACAGCATGGGCCATAAGCATTTTGGTTAGTCGTAGGAGCAGTGCCCGCTTCAACAAGGACACCTACAAGACACACCGAACTTGCTCTTTTGGCTGCGCCACGCACGCTGCTCCATGGCTAAGCTTCCTCACAGGAACGGAAACCACACGTGCAACAGCCTTTGTGCTCTGACGAGAGGCTCTGCATCTGGACGTCGGGCATGTATGAGCAAGGGGAAGGTGCGGTTCAATTTCTTTTAGGATGAAAGGGTTAATAAAGTCGCACTCAATCTGATGTGGTTGATGTTGACTCGGGCTAGTGATGTGGTTGTCATCATGACAGACAGGAGGAGGAACCGGACAATGATGAATAATGATGAAGACGAACGTGAACATAACACGACGACAACCATGAACACGACGAACATGACGATAACGATGGTGAAGATGGTAAAACCTGAGCTTAGGCTTAAACTATCAGTTTAAGGTCACGGCATAACGTTTATCCTCATGGCTTCTTGAGAAAGCTTGCCGGGCTCCGTAATTAACTTTTCTGTGCACTCGGGATCTTTAATCTTGCAGCGCCGCAAGCATGAAAGCTAAATGTCATGAACACCTATTAGAAATATTATATATATATGTATATATTTGTGTATACACATTTTGAGTTGAAGTTAATACCCTAGCTCCAACATCGGTTTTGCTTTGCAATGTTAAGTGTATGAGTTGCAAAGACTGCGAAGCCACTTCACTTATCCTCCGTCGTCAGAACACGAAGAGCCCAAGAACCTAAAACCCCACACCCTAAACCGTACAGCCGAAACTCGGAACCCTTATTGAGCTCGAAGCTTTCTTGTGACATGCCCGCGCTTTGGCCAGATCTGGCGGGGCAGTCAGAGCTTCGACCACGGAACGAAGTTCTTGGACTCGCCTGGACGGGACAGGGTCTTGGGTTCAGGGTGTAGGGTCCAGGCCTCAAGCAAAGTTTACCTAGGTTTCGGTTCAGGCCTTATGTGGTTTGGTTGAGAACCTATAGGATTGCAGGGCGGATTCTATATGGGTAGTTTTCTAAGGTAACGTCCCTGTTGGGGGCCAAGAAAGGGGGACCCTAACTTAGAGAACTACCCGTATAGGGCTTGAAATACTTTGGCGCGACGGTTTTGTTCCTACCCATAGGCCCCATAGTAGTCCCTTTTAGGGATTACCTTATAGGATTCTAAATATGAACCCCAAAAAGGAACTACTATGGGGCCTATGGGTAGAGCTTGCAGCCGAGGGCCGAATCGAAGCTCAGGTTTCTAGTCGACTCGAAACACGACCCTGCACAACTCACAGTTCACAGCTTCCTTCAGTTCAGCCCTAAATCCCACCTTAACCCCAAATAACCTACCTGTTTAAGGACTGATATAAAGAAATCATAATAAGGAACCCTACAAGGAAGGTTTTATAGGGTTAAGGTAAGCCTTAAACTATAAAGGGTTAAGTAGCCAGGAGGGCCGTTTTCCGGCTGTTATGGATCTCGATCCCCAACACAAACTGTAGTTCAGAGCCTACTAATTCAATCATGGTGGTATGTACTGTACACACGGCACCTCTTGTCTTTCCCCATCTCGATTGTTTGGGTATTGGGCTCAGTCGGTATGTCTTGCTGATGAAATTGTTGGCTACTTTGCTGTATGAATATAATATACGGTTTACCAACAGCGCCAAGAGACAGTAAATTAAAGACGACTTAGATACCTGGGCTTCTACCGAACCTCCAATAATCAGGACGAGCGACAGCCGATGGCGCCAGGCTGGACGAATCTCGGCTGTGCTTGGGTTCAAAGTTGGGGGCTTGAAAGGAGCAGTACTCACTACTACAGCTAGCATGTAGCAGTGATGCTGGGACATGCTGGGACTTGAACTGGGGATAGTACTAGCGCTACGACTACCTGCTGCTACGTACTACAACTAACGATAACCACAACAATCGCAATAATAATAACAATAACAAGAACAATAACCATAGCAGTACACATCGCAAAACAACAATAGCAATCATAGCAGGAGCAAAAGCAATAGCAATAGCACAAGCACAATAGCAAGAGCAATAGTAACAGCAATAGCAATGACAATAACAATCTACGTCGATCCATATCAGCACCAGCAACAACAGCAGCAATAAGATAACTGGCAAGAACAATATTGATAGTAACCATAGTTGCAAACACACATATCGGTAGTACGACAACTAGCTACGAGTTTTATACTGCGACTACAGTGACAGGGCAGACGACCGCGACGCCTTCTACAGTAGGCCTCCCTGTAGGTTTTCGGCATGTTCTGCTGAACGATCCCTAGGCATCGCCGAGGCTTTGCCAAAATCAGGGACCTAGGGACATGTGCTACTATTCGGACGTGGGCTAAGATCTGTATTCGCAACTAGAAGAAAACAAGCATATATATATATATATACACACAACAACATGCAGAGAGGCAGAATATGGACATGAACAGCCTCAGCGTAAACCCTAAACCCTAAACCCTAAACCCTAACAACAACACCCCCTTGAGCCGACAGCTCCTAGAGCCCTCAAGCTCTCAAGAGCTCCAAAGAACCTGAGGCCCCGAAGACAAGCACCCGAAACCTGCTTAACCCGGACATAATTCAGGGAATTAGGGTTTAGGGTTTAGGGGTTTAGGGGTTTAGGGGTTTAGCGTTTTAGGGGTTTAGGGGTTTAGGAGTGTCGGGGAAAGTACACAACTACCACTCAGAATATTATGTGTATATATATGCATGCATAACTATTCTTTTAATTTGCTTATTTATTTTTACATCGCTATCAAATGTTCAAGAACCCTGGAGTAGCAGCCCCAAACTCAAACCCTAAATCCTAAACCCCAAACTCAAACCCCAAACCATAAACCCTAAACCCCAAACTCAAACCCTAAACCCTAAAGCCTAAAGCCCCAACTCAAACCCTAAACCATAAACCCTAAAGCCCAAACTCAAACCCTAAACCATAAACCCTAAAGCCTAAACCCCCAACTCAAACCCTAAACCCTAAACCCTAAACCCCCAAACTCAAACCCTAAACCCTAAACCCCAAACTCAAACCCTAAAGCCTAAACCCCACACTCAAACCCTAAAGCCCCGCCGCAGCTCAGGCCGACGCCCGGCCAAGGGGGCGGATTCCAGTTGTTGCCTGTCTGCCTGCAGTACGCTTTTCGGTTGGGGAATTAGGCTTTAGGCAAAGGTTTAGGGCTTAGGGTTTAATGAGGGGCTTTGGGTTTAGGTTTTAGGTTTGGGGTTTTTGAAGGCTTAGGGTTTAGGGGTTTAGGGGTTTAGGGGTTTTTTGCATGTGATGGTTGGACTCTTCCGAGTGCACACAGCATGCATGTCCTGAGCTGACGAGTCAGCCGCCGAATGCCCACTCCGCAGGCATTGGCTTCGTAGGTCTGACCTCTTTAGGCCAGATGGATGCACGGTCGCCCTGTACATGGACCCTGTATCCAAGCACAGCCGCACTTCCCGCGCTCCGCGCAAGGATGGCTTGTGCAGCAAAAAGTGCGCAATGCGCTATTCCATGAGCAGAGGCGCTCGTAGGAATGACCGCTACAGGCATGTCTTCCGGAGTGAGGTGGTGTGCAATGCCATGAGCGATGAGCTGGTGGACCTGCGCTTCCTCCAGCTTATTGTCAGCGGACTGGAGCCAGTCAGTGATGTATCGAAGTCCATCAAAGGAGGCCTCGGCAGTTGTAAGGGCTACCGATGCAGGACGGAGGGTCGCCCACCACGGGGCCGGTCCGCTGGTTTTACAGGCAGGTCGCCATGCACGGCTGTGCATAGTCTCGGCAACTTCTCGAGAGTCAAGGTCGGATTCCGCCCAAACCCTCAAACACGTTGGCTGCCTGCGTAGATGATCCCGAAGCCGTTTAGTGCTCCAGAATTCGGTACGACAGACTTCACATCGCGTACCGTTTGCAGCTGCTGTTGACCTCGCGACACAACCATGAGCCTTGCTCATGTGTGCTGCAAGCGCAGCCGCAGTCTTGCATTTTAAGGCACAATTGGGGCACTTGTGCTGGGCCCCAGTGGGGCCACTCCCCTTATAGTGGAAGAAGTAGACCCCAGCGGACCGAGCTGCAGCCAGGTTGGTCCACTTGAGTAGGTTCTCGTCTTGCTTCTTTTGAGCCCTGGTACGGCACCTACGAGAGAAACTGCTGGCCCACTGCTTGGCAAGCGAGGGGTCAGCACACAGACGGTCCCAGCTGCAGCCCTCAACGACATTGGCACAGTCTTGAAGGGCTCGTAGTATCTGCTGGTGCCAAGGGCCCGCATCGAACCAGAGTTCACGCAGCACCTGAGAACCATCAGCAAGAAGCCATCCCGCATAGCGCAGCAGGTCGGCAGTACGCACCTGTGTCGAGGTAAGAACACCCAGGCAGGCACAGACCGCATCGTCATCCAGGCCCCGACTGGAAATGCCACAGAGGGCACGAAAAGAGCGCCTCCAGGGCTCCATGTAGGCCTGATTGTAGAGCCTTTGTTCCTGCAAGGTGCGCAACGTCCATAGTCCTGAGTTGTGGCAGAGTCGCGCAATGGGCATGCTGATGACAAGGTTGGTCCGTTCACCTCGGGTAAGGTGTGGATTGCGGACGAGCCGAGAGATGCCTTTGCACAGATCCCTGGACAGACCTCGGCGACGACCCAGATCCGCAAGGTCACCTCCTGTTGCATCTACCTCAGAGCCTAGATGCGTGTAACGCTCCGAAAGGTGAACGGTGACCTGGCCTGTGCCCGTGTCGACTGAAAAATTAGCCCCTTGCTGACAAAGCCAGCGTTGGCGAAGCAGCCTACTGTTGGCACCTGTAATGATGGGCAAGAATTCAGTCTTGCCTGGCGCGAAGTTGACCTTGATACCTGTGCGGTGTAAAGCAGCGTCAACTTCCTGGACCATGCAACCTGCTTGCTCCAAAAGCTCAGCAGGTCGATCAGCAAGCACCGGGAAAGCCACGTCGTCCATCCAACTGGGAGCCGGCAAAGGAAGCACAGCACCCCCGGGGGCAGTAGGGCACAGGGGGCGTATGCCCAGGGCATCAGCCCGCTCAGAGATGTCCGCAAGGACTCTCCCGAAAGCCAACTGGAAGAGAAGGTCTGCAAGCGGGGCTCCTGGGACGGATCCCGTACGGGTCAGGTAGAAGTGACCAGGCTCTCGTCCCACGCAGTACCAAGTATTGTCAAGGCAGGCGGCTACAAAACGCTGAACAGCAGATGGCACCGCGGCTGAGGCCAGAAGGCCGGGCCCCATGGCCTGGATGACAAAGCGCATGCGGTCCTCCTCCTTCGTAAACACGGCATCTGCAAGCGCGTGTATGAATTCTTGGTCGCTGCAGGAGGCCGTGCCCAGCAACGGCTCCCTCAGCAGACTATAGAAGGCGGCCTGGCCATCGACAAAAAGAATGCCTCCACAGAGCTTATAATCAGCAATTCTTTTGATCAAGCCCTTGACGTGGGCGCTTGCAACGGGGAGAGGGTTCTTAGGCCTGGAACCTCCCTGTGCGGGCTGACGGACGCAATCAAAAGCCTGGAGGAGGTCAGCCCTTAAAGCGCGCGCCACTGCCTTGGCGCCGGGCTCAAGCAACAATATGCTTCTCCAGCCGGCCGTCGTGTGTGGAGGCTTGGTGGGTTTAGGGATTGGCACGGCGATCCCTCCTCTCCAGATGAGCGGGCACTGTCTGCGAAGCTGGCACTTTAGCAGGAGGGCAACATGTTGATGCGCTGCTTCAAGGGGAGCAACCTGATACGCTTCGGCAGGGAGCGAGGACCAACCGACAGCTCTCCGAGTCGAGAGTCCACTAAATGCACGCGCAAGCCCTGCAACCGACAGACAGTCGGCGACCGGAAAGTCTTGGGCGGCGTAACTGGCTCCCCGAGTGTCAATGGCCTCGGCAGTGGTGTGAGTAGCACGTTCAGCTTCTGCAAAGTGGTCACCCAGGACTCGAAAGGAGTCCTCCTCCACTGTGCCGTTTTCTTGGCGCAGGGCAGGGCAGAGCGCAGGCGCTCTGTAGCGGCGGCCTATCTTAGAGATACGCCTGCATAGACGATGTAGAGCTTCCACGCCTTGTGACCTAGCCTCATGGAAGGAGTGCCTTAAGGCCCGCGCGGCATCGTCTTTGGCAGACGCGCGGATGAGCCGTGTCATATCCTTGACCTGCTCACCCAGGAGCACGAGGTAGTCTTGCCACTCCTCCCGGTCGGTAACTTGGTGCATGACCCGGCGCAAAGCCCGCCGATCCTTGATTAGCTGCCAAGTGCTGTCAGAGGTAACAGGGTCCCTCGGTCGATCGGCGAGCTTGGGGCAAATGTGACGAAGGCCACGCATAATGTGAGCATTGAGGATGTAGGCATGCTCGTCCACCGAGGCCGCCCAATCAATGCGGGGCACCTGTCTGTATACCTGTTGTAGCGCCGCCTTGCCTGCAGGAGTGCGGAGAACCTCGACGTCGAGTCTGGGCTTCTTGGCTGTAAGAGAACCTGCTTGCTTCCAGGCGAAACGGGTGAGGACAGGCTTATGGTCATGGTCCACGTGCCCCACAAAGTCAAGAAGCGGTCCCTCCACAACCATTCCTGCCCTAAGGGAATCGGGACAGCAGACGTAGTCCAGACAAGCTTTTTGGTTGCCGGGCCCTTGCCACGTATAGAAGGGAGCACCCGAAACGTCAACATACCCGGAGGCACAAAAGGAATGAGCACGGACTACCTCGGCAAAGCCCGTTTGATTGACATTGATGTCAGATCGCAGCACCAAGTGGTCCACGGGATCGTGGTTGTGTGCGTTGGCATCGATGAACATCATGGGCACACTGTTGTGCGGGAGCCGTCGAAGGGCACTGTGAAGACTGTCCCACCACTTCTGGCAGAAAGTTACCCCAGATTTAGTCGTCGGGCTATGCGCGATGGCAAAGGCGAAGGTAATGCCCCCTGCCTTGGCTGTGGCTAGGAGCATGCGTGGTGTGGTACACACTATGCACATGCTGGCCCCATCCCAGTGCACTGGATTCTGGCCAGCCCTAGCAACGGCGAGGCTCTTGGACAGCCAGAGCTGGCACCCCAGTTGTCCATCCGCCGCAGGGCTGTGAAGGATGTGGTAGTGCTGATTGCTGCTCCTACCCGAGGTGCCTGTGCGCGTCTCTTGCAAACCGACAACAGCTACCCCTTTGCGGTGGAACTGAGAGCACAGGCTCTCTTGCTGAGAAACAGATTGCAAGGTAAGGCAGTTGTAGGTTGCAGCTCTGAAATCAAACGAGACATTGGCTGCAAGTGGAGGTGGAGAAGGGCACATGTCCGAAATACCGACGTCAGAGGGGCGGACCTCGTCGGCGTCAGCCAACGCCCCGTTAGGCAGGACAGCCGGCACAGAGGGGTGCAAACCGCTGCCAGCCCACAGCCAGGCCAGCGTGGAGCTCGTTTGTGCCTCAAACAATGCTGTCGGCAACTGTCCAGCGATCTCTCCCCTGGCCGCAGATTTGGCCGCCGCATCAACAAACTCATTTAACGGGTGGCCGGAATGTGCCTTGACATGCATCCACAGAGGCGCGCGATCGCGCAACATGAGGAGATGGCTCATAGACCGGCAAGCCTGCGCTAAATGAGAGTCCTGCTGGTCGTAGCAGCTGGCCGAAGCAACAGCTTGGGCCGATGTCGAATCAAATCCGATCGCGCACGGCACATCAGTGCTTAGGCAGTGTGCGAGGGTATATGCCATTGCTGCGAGCTCTGTCTCGTAGGCTGAGTGGACCGGGGCTCCTAAGGTGTGGTAGGAGCCAGCAGCTTGTGCACGAATGGTGTGATGTCCGACCCACGTCCATAGACCCTGATGCAGGGCAAGCGCACAGATTGACCAACCACAGTCTTTGGAATGCTCATAATAGGAGCCGTCTACATAGAATTGCATGGCCTGAGGTCTGGTGTCTGGCGGTAGCTGAGGCAGATTCTTCAGGAATCTGCGTGCACATGGAGGAACATCATTGACTGCCTCCCAATCCGGGTCGAAGCATTGTAGCCCAAATTGAGCGAACAGAAACTGCTCCATGTCCGCATCGACCCCCAAGAGCAGCTTGCCTGGTCCCTTGCGAGCAGTGGCTCCAGGGAGGAGTTCATGCAGCTTTAGGCAGCGAACCCCCGGCAGGTGCGATGGCGTCGCAGGAGGGGCCGACCAGTCTTTGGCGGGAGCAGGTAATTTGCGCCTGCCCAAAGGGGTAGGGATGGGCTGCCGTCCAGGAGGTCGAAGAGATGCAGGGCCTTCTTTAGCCGCGCAGGCCAAGGTCGCGCCATGTATTTCGGCGTCCCGCGGGATCCCCCCATCATAAGCGTGGCTCGTGACATCAGTGACAGCCGGCCGGCCGTCACAAGTCGGAACACCTGCCTGGCAACCACAGTCCCTTGGCAGACCGTGCGCCCGAATGAGTGCCTTGCACCGCTTAGCTTGTCTGTCGCGCTCGTCCTGGATTTGAACAAGTGAAGTGCCTCCGGTGCCCGCACTGTTTTGCCGTGCTGTGTTGGGCGCCCCGATACGGCTGTGTCGGACAGTCGCGCCATGCTCAATTCCGCCTGGATAAATCAAGGTAAAACCTTTGCGGACAGGCAGAGGTAGCGTAGCTGGATCAGTGCCGGGCGGAACCCAGACTACGTGATAGCCCCAGAAAAAGGCGGGTGCTGGCACAAAAAGCCCGACATTCCGAGTGCCAGGCGGGATGGACAGAAAAAGGGGCGCATGCTCATGAGTAAGCTGGCATGAGTCAGCGAAGCTTGTGCCTGGCATGAACAGCCCAGTACGGATGATGTCATCCTCTGCCTCCGTCAAAGTCCTAAGGATTCTTCCAGGCACATAAAGGAGCGCTGGGGCATGATGAGGTCCTTGGACAATGACTGGCTGCCGGTCAACAGAGGGCCGCCCCATTTCATCCGCACGCTGATCTAGTCTGGCTCTAAGGTACCCAGACCACCTTTCGGATCCAGAAAGTAGATCCGCATCTTGTTTGTCCTGGTTGGATACGTCCACTTGTTTGTGGATCCGCGACCACATTTTGGTGACACAGCGAAACCTATAACTTGAGCCAAAACAAGCAAAGTCCAAACAAAACTTTCTTCCACCAATGCAGCAAGTTGTTTTGCTGTTGTGTTTAAGGCAGGGCTGCAAGAGCAAACGATTGCTATATGTTTTAGCACGAACCAGCATTTTTTGTGACTCTTATATGAGCTTTAAACTCAAAAACTGATGCTCATGATGCTTGAGCCGAAATTGTGTCTCTCCTTAGAGCTCTCTCCCCTCAAGTCTGGATTTCGGCTGTTTAGGGGGGGTGTTGAGGTTTCGTTCGGCTTAAGTTGTGTCAGGTCTTTGGTTTAGCGGGGCCTGGGCTGAGGGTGTTGAGGTTTCCTTCGGCTTAAGTTGTTTAGGGGGCTTGGGCTGAGGGTGTTGAGGTTTTGGGCTTGGGGCCCCAAAGCAAGGCTGTCCGAAGCCAATCCCTTCACACCCTAGACCCTAAACCCTAAAACTGAAGCCGTAAGACCTAAGCCGTAAACCTTACCCTAAACCCCCTAAGACCCCCAAAGCCGAAGCAAAAAACCCTTCGATCTGTGCTCTTTCCGGCCAGCGGACGACGATCCTTGCTTCTTGGCGGCCGAAACTCTGCGAAGCCAGGGATAGAGCCGAAGAGCGTAAGGCACTACTGCTTCTTAGGTTCGGGATTTACAGGGCCAAGGGCTTATGAAGGCTCGTAAGGGCTTGAAGGCTTGTGAGGGCTTGAAGGCTCGTTCCCGGCGCTATTCTGTACACCTCGGCACGGTGCTCCAAAGCCAGTGTCCCAAACCCAGGCATCTCCTGAGATGACCGTGCTTTTCATCCAAAGAGAGTCCAATCTAAATTTCGCCTTTGCTGAAGAGTACTTCAAAAGCTTCTGAAGGCCACCAGGATTCGAGATTCGGAAGAGCCAGCACCAGCAGTCATCTATAGTGGAGAACCTCGATCGCTGTTTTACTGTAGGCTCTATAGAGACAATCCTACAATCGGACGTATCTAGAGTATAGAGGCTTCGTGAAGCAGTGTTCGCTGAGGCTCTCGGGGCTCGGAATTATAAAGTTTGGTGAGGATGTCCTACAGTTGTACACAGATGAAATCCCTTATTTGCCCGCTTAAGATGGTCAGAAGAAGAAAAAACCTTTACTTCAGCTTAGGAGAAAAACCTGCTTATGCGGATATGGTGCCTGGAGCATCTTGGGTCTGCAGATCGGAAGTAGTGATTCTTAGCAGCAGCGGCTCGGCAGAAGCTGTGGATCTCCGCATCGGTCCTGGGAAGGAACAGCTGGTCTGAGTACGAACATATATTTGTATATTATAGGGTTTAGGATGTAGGGTTTAGGGTTCCCTCAAGGTTCGAGCCACTGGGCCTGACTAGAGAAGTGGTTTACGAGCCGGGCCTGTTGAGAGAAGCAGTTCGCGGGTATTTGCTTAACCCGAAAACAAACTGACATGACGAGGTGAGAGCTTTATCCTGAAGATGTGTTGCGTGCTCACTCTACTCCACGGGGCCGAAGTCGCCACTGCATGTTTCCTAAAAGTTACAACGATTGGTCCTATGTGCGGCTAAAGGGAACTGAAAAGTCAATGATCAAGTGCCGGCAGAGCTCAATCCTCAGCAGCGAGCTGCTCCAGCATAGAAAGCTTCCGATACACAGCAAGTGCCCATCCTCGTCTGTGGACAGACCGGCACACACGGGCGATGTCTCCGTTCAAGGACTCATCGATGTACGTGGAATACATACGAGGATTGCCCTTGTGGACCGCCCTCTGTATCATATGATACATCATATGACACTTGGGCATGAGAGGCACCTCGGCTCTGGCACTCAGACAGATGAATCTGTTGTACTTGTCGAACAGCAGTCCACAAGCCTCAGAATCAATCGCCCTCGGGTGAGCCGCCAGCACTGCGTCGAAGTCCATCGCTGCCATGCCCGCTCTCAGCAGCAGATCGAAAGAAGCGGCTTGAGAAGCCGAAGCCAAAATTTCCGAATGCTTTCCAAGTCTGTCGACGACGAAGTTGAGCAGCCCATGCGTCTCGGCAGCTTTCGCCTTGAGATACTTTCCAGCAAGCATGTTCAAGGTCAAGTTCCACACCTGCAGGGGCATATCCATCGCTGCTGAGGAACACTTAAGCGGCTTAAGCGGGTTCAAACTCTGGGACGTGTCGGGCCTCTGTACCTTTTTTCCGCCAAGTTCCGTCTTCGTCTGCTTCACGACGTCTCTTGTAGAACGACCAAAGTTCAGCACGAATATGAAGCAAGGCGAGCTTGTCGGCCTCCTCTTTGTCCAGGTCTTGGTCGGCCGGCCGATACACTGACGACGAAATCAGCAGTCGCAGGGAGTGTGCAATGTACGAGGATAAAGGCCCGAAGTGCCACGTATGGAGCACATCTATGCACCAGCAGTCGAGGGTGACCCCAGGTATCTTCAAAAAAGGCGACTGGTGCAGGATGCGACCGTGCGGCCCGCCGGTGTAGAAGGTGCAACTGAAGGGCGTGGTGAGCTGCATAAACTTGTCTACATCCAAGAGGCTTGCAGACGGTTCCAGGCGGTTGCCTTTGCGAAGACCCAGAAGCGGGAAGCTTGCCTTCAAGCATCGTCCCCGACCATTCTTGCTGTAGCGGAGCAGGCTATGAAGTTTTCGATGGGTGTCGTCGTCAGGCACAATCACTTCCTAGCTCGAGTCACTGCTACTGTTTGTTGGCCTTCGGGTTCTTTCATGTTCCTTATACTTATAAAACAAAAGACAACTTTGTCTACTGCGGAATCAGGCGGCCCGGAAAGTCTGTGCGACGAGGCTCTCATAAGAGCTCGCCGTAAACAGAGCGTGCGGCGAAGATCGCAAGGATTGTGTGCCGACTTGCAACAACTCGCCTTTCCCCACTGTGCAGCATGGGCATGGATGGAGGTTGTGAGCCCATGTCCGAAGACCGCAAATCTCGACCAGTGCCGGCCAGTCGGCCTTGAAGTCCAAAATCGCCGGTCGAATGTCACGGTGCAAATGGCTCATGTCGCAGCGGAAATGTTCCAGAAGCGGGAAGACTGAACACCAGCCACGACAGCCGCACGAGCACAGCTCTGACAGCCCTGCGTGTGCGATGTCTGCGGGAATAAAGAGTCATTATCTTTGGTTGAATATAAGGTTTCTTCGGTTAGATATTAGGACAGCCTTTTGTTAGGGTTTAGGATTTAGGGTTTAGGCCTAGGCACTCAAGAGCCAGACCAGCTGTTGCTTCCCAGAGCGAAGGTTCGTCATGTAGAAGCCAAGAAAGTTTTCGTTCTTCGTGTATTGCACCCCATCAAAGTAAACTGACAGCGGAACGATGTGTTCCTGACGAAATCCTTCTCGGAAGGCTTTCTGGACGACAGGGTGATTCTCATAGAGTTCCCAGTAACCCTTATCGGCATCAAGGTGTTCTTTCAGAAACTGTGGGTCTGCACTTGCCTCGGACCCCAAAAGCCCTAAACCATTCAATTCACGACGAAGCAGATCGGATGTTACCCTTGTAGGATGCTGGACGGAGACTCGCCCAAAAGATTTCTTGCAGTTCATAGGCACTGGCACATATTCCACATAGGGCTCCTCGTACTCTTTGCCCAGATGGCAACTTAGCTTCTTAATACCAACTACATAAATCTATCGCTCCAACATTCCGCACTTGTTAATCTTCTAGCCAGAAGAAAAGCTTTGAGCTGGCTATAGAGCCGGAACCAAAGAACATTCAAACAACAACACTGCCAAGCTAAGACCCCAAAGACCGAACAGGCAAACACTGCCAAGCTAAGACCAAGGAACCGAAGATGCCGTGCCCCATGAACTGTAGCCTGGTCCGGGTGCAGCCCCAGATCTTCAGTGCCCAGGCCGCCCGATTCAGTGTGATAATGTGCCAGGGTACAAGTGTCAGCAGCAGTGGCAGCTCCAGTCGTATATCGTTCCAGCAAGTACTTTCTAAACTTGACCCCAGCCTCCTTCCGATATTCAGCGTCTTCTCTTTCAGCTGTATCCTCCACAGAAAAACTTGCCTGCTCTAACAAGCGAGCTCTCTTCAAGCTCATGGGCAGTCAAAGCGGCCATGTTGAGGGTTCTCATTTTACGGATTTAGGGCCTTCTGGGGTGATATACTTCATTCAGAACATTCACAAAGATTTGGGGATGAAGGTTTGGGCGATGACATATTTTGATTTATCAGGTGTTAAGGCTTCCGGGGTGACATTGATTAATTAAGCTTTAAGGCTTCGGGGGTGACATACTTTGGTTCACCGAGCTTTAAGGTTTCGGGGGTGACATACTTTGTGTATGAAGCTTTACAGTAAACCCTAAACCCTAAACCCTAAACCCTAAACCCTAAACCCTAAACCCCGTTTGGGCGATGACATATTGTGTTCATCAAGCTTTAAGGCTTGGGGTTTGTTAGGGCGGTGCTGAGTTTAAGCGGCGTGAACTTTCGGTGTCTCAGCTTCGGGCCCAGACCTTTGAACAACGGCCAAGGATCTTGCAACGACTGCTGGAGAATGTCACTGGTCGCACAGCACTGAATGGCTTCAGCTTTGAGGTTCGGGGATTTCACAAAAGGGCTTTGGCTTCCGGGCTTTGAGGTTTCGGGCTGGGGTTTAGGATAAGGGTCTGGGCAGAGTTTAGCTTAAGCTTTAGGCTTAAAGTTCAGGCTTTGTGGTCCGAGTTTAGGGGTTGGGATTCGGGTTCAAAGCTACGGCTCCATGCTGCGGGGCCCAATGTTTTCATCACACTTCGGATTTGTCGCTGGTCACTAATGGAGCTGGAACATAGGCAGGTGTCGAAACTTGTCGCGAAGCGGCTGCAGCAGGGCTTCAGATCTGGACATAGCAGCAAACTATATAACGGGGCGATGCGTGAGGATTTTGGGGTACAGGTTTCGGGCAATGGGATTCTATGAAACAGCAGGACACTACAACAAGGGACGATATATGCGTGAGAGTTTTGGGGCCCTCCTGCACAGACAAGCTTGTACCTGCAGCACTCCACACCAGCTGGTGCAGATCGAGGGCAGTGCAGCCGATTGTTTAAAGCCAAGCTAGCACTTCGGAGATTAGGGTTTGAGGCGGGGTCTGGACTTAAGGTTCAGGGTGCAGGGTTGCAGGCTTAGGTTTCAGGGTTCAGGGTTTAGGGTTCAGGGTTTAGGGTTCAGGGTTTAGGGTTCAGGGTTTAGGGTGCAAGGTTGAGGGTTTGGGGTTCAGGGTTGAGGGTTTAGGGTTCAAGGTTTAGGGTTGCGGGATTCGGGTTCATGGTTGAGGACTAGGTTTCTGGGTTGAGGGATGCTGAGGGTTTAGGGTTCGGGGTTGCGGGGTTTAGGGGAGCCCCGGCGTGTGGTAAGTGTAAGAGCCTTTAGGACCCCGGCCAGAAACAATCGGCGACTACCCGTTGTCGCATCGCTCAGCCACACTATCCTGGACTTAAATGCCAGGTTGCCCCACAGGGCTGAGGACACATGCCCCAGCAGTGCGTCCAGCTAGGGTTTTCGGGACCCAGCAAGAAGTTTTCTATGAAGTTTGGACAACCATTTTCTCCAATGAAGATCACAACTTTTACTATGAAGTTTTAGTAGCGTTATGGTTGAAATCTATAATCAGGGTTTTTCGGGCCCACATAACTTGGGCGAATGTTTGTTTGTCAAACAAAGTTCAAGAATTTCTCTATGAAGGACAACAAGTTTGTCGAATGAAGATCACAACTTTTACTATGAAGTTTTATTAGCGTTTTGGTTGAAATCTATAATCAGGTTTTTTCGGGCGTAGGTTCAGGTTCTATGGGTTCTAAGACATGGGGCTGCTATGTTTCGAGCCGTTGTATAAGTTTCGGATTTAGAAGCTAAGCCTAAACCCCTAAACCCCTAAACCCCAAAAACTAAACCCTGAACCCTAACCCCTAAACCCTAAAACGTTGCACTTGATATAGAAGCTTAAGCTACACACAACGACCTTCAAAAACCCAAGCTGCAGCACTGCAAAACCCCATCACCTGAGGATCTCGATCACACGGACGGCAGGGATGCCGTTGAGGCCTGTCTTTTCGGGCCCTTCTTCGAGGTCTTTGAAGATGTAGACTTGGAAGGGGTGCCAGCCGCAACCACAGCCATAGCATCGGACATAGACTTGATCTTGCTTGTCACCTCACTCATCGAGGAGATCTTCGGACCGAGTTGCAAACAGAATTGGCACAGTTTGCTGTGGTAGTCCATCCCGTACATTTTCTTTAGCTTTGCCGTTTCTTTGGCACTCAGTGCCGCGACCTTGGCTTGACTAAAAAACTCGACATCGGCGTACATAGCAACGATCTCCGTTCTCAAAGTGCGGTACTGCTGGGCGAAATCCTTCGCCCAAGTCCAAGCAGACGGGTCGGCACCCATAGAGGCTGCGATCTTCGACATCACGTTGTCGCTTTCGGCCTCGAGGGCTAAGAAGTCTTTCACTTCCCGCTCCTTCTTGCCGGTGGGGTTGCCACCACCTTTCTTTGGCTTCTTAGAAGCCGGCTGATCATCTCCAGGATTTGCACCATCTTGCTCATCAGTGGCAGCTGTGGCTGCCTTGCCAGCATCGGTCAAACCCATAGGATCATCGGTGCCTTTGCTAGCCTTAGCTTTGCCCTTAGCCTTGGCTTTTGCAGCACCCGGTGCAGGTGCTGGCTTCTCCGGCGATGTCTGCTTGCCTGCGGAGCCATCGCCGCCGGGCTGGGGGAAGGCGGCCGGGGTTGAATCGTAGAGTTTTGCGTATCCACGGATGCCGAGGGCCGTCTTGTCAAGCATGGCCGTCGTCACGTCCTTCACCTGAATCTTCTGCTCTACAGCAAACACTCGGGCCGCTCTGCAAAACTCAGCCTTCTCACTCCAGCTACCCGCGATGGGGCTGTCCTGCTCCACCGTCACCTCGTTCACCCAAGCCGTTTCGGAAGACGAGGACACCAGGCTCTCGACCCACAGGAACGTGTCGGCCTTCAGCCAGTCGTTGAACATGTAGCAGAATGCCTGTAGGATCGAGGGAAGTGGCTCTGGGGTTTAAGGGGATTGAAGATTTCAGCATTTAGGTTTTGGGAACATAGCAAGTTTAGGGCTGAAGCGGTTTTGGGTTTAAGGTCTTAAGTTTTGGGGCCAAAGCAGGTGTAGGATTGAAGGGGTCTAGGGCTTCAGGGGTTTAGGTTATTTTTGTGCATGGGTTATTTTATCATAGGGTTTGTTGTGCTCCAAAATTTAAAGTTTCTGGAATCCCAGCCTTCAAATCGGGCCTCAAGCACATGGACACGTAGTTCTTCGCCTGAAGAACCGCTTCGGGCTTGTCCGATCCGCCCAGGACCTGTTCCAGCTGTAGCTGGGTTTTGAAAACCCCGAGGTCTTCTTTGCGGCGTCTGTAGCTGTTTGTTGTTGTCCTGCGAACAGTCACAAACTCGAAGTCTCGCGAACAGCTCCAGGCGGCTCGGAAGGCGATCTTTTCGGCATCCAAGAGGACATTGTACAACTCCCGAACGTCCGGGCGATGTTTTAATGCCCGTTGCAAGGCCTGTCCGGCCGCACCTCTGGCCGTGAGATTTGTCTTAAGCGTAGCCCAAAACACCTGGCCCTTCTCATGCCCCTTCACCATTTCCTCGGAGACCTGCTCGATCGGGAGGCCGTGGTGCTCGGCATAGTTGGTCCTCGCCTCCATCATGGAAGAGTCCGTGAGCTTCACATCTTGATCCGGAGCTTTCCCAGGCTGCTTCTCGGCTTCCAAGGATTTCTCAGGGCTCGTGTGCTGCTTGTCGGCTTCCAAGGATTTCTGAGGGCTCGTGTCCGAAGACTCTGAAGGTGTTGCCGAAGGTGTTGAGGTTGGCTCGGGGTTCGAAGGAGGAGGCGAGCTGACTACTTGCGTGGCAGCATAGGCATCGAGGCTCAGGGTCGGGGCTGTTGTCAGGGCCATGGCAGCAGCCACGTCTTCGGCCTCCTTGGCCCATTGGGATGCCTGGGTATCAACAGAATCCTCTGCAGACATTCTGTCTGTGGGATCAAATCCTACAGCTATATATCGAGCTACTCTAGACGGCAAAATGCCAGCAGCTTCACCTGCATAGGTTTGAGTAGATCACGACAGCCGCCGGCAATGTTCAGTTTCCAGATCCCTTAGATATAATTGATAGATGATAGTAAACTATTATATATGCTATATAGTAATTTGAATATATATAGTGTTGTAGATATCGCTATATAGATAGCCCAGCACACGATTAGGATCTAGAATCGGCCACTACGTAATTGTAACTTTAGATTTATAACAGCAACAATAGCCACCACCCGGAAGGGGTCTAGAACCCGATGCGTATCCAGATCCACTATGTCACTATGTGCGACAATTGCTAGGGTTTAGATCGAGGAGTGTTGGGGAGATACTTATAAGTTTCTAGTCTTTAGATTGACACCAACCACTACAAAAGGGAAGGATCCAGAAACCGCTGCGTATCCAGATCCCGTAGGTGCCACAAGTGTTGGGGTTACCATAGAGGATATCAGGAGTTTAGGTGAGGTAAGTTTCTAGTCTTTAGATTAACACAAACCACGACAAGCAGAGGATCTAGAAGCCTCTGCGTATCTAGATTCAATACTATTTTAGGGCGTGGTGGTTTTGGGGGGATGAGTTTCTGGTTTCTAGATTGACAAAACCAGACACGACTATAGGGTCCAGAATCGACTGCGTATCCACATCCACTCGGCGAAACACTTGCCTGGCTATACATTAATAATTAAGGGCGAGTTCTGTAGCATTGGGGGTTGTGAGTTTCTAGTCTTTAGATTGACACAAACCAGCACATTACGGATCTAGGATGTCATAGCGTATCCAGATCTTTAATAATTTCTCTACACACATCAAATTTCGGCTTGCGGAAAGCTTGGAATCAGGGCCTAGATACCTCATCGGGGGGCTCATCGGGGATCTACTTTGGCTCATCAACATCTGTGGATCTCTACAGAGTATGACACCGGCTAGCCAACCAGTGTATACCTCATCGGGGGACCTCATCGGGGGTTCTACTTTGGCTCATCAAGATCCCTAGCTCTATATGATACAAGTACACGGATGATGCCTCTTCGGGGATACCTCATTGCCTGGTGTTTTGGGCTTGTGACCACAAACCAATAGGATTGGCGGTTCTTGGTTGTTTTAAGCACGACGACTCATGGTTTGCGTCGAGGCGGATGAGCAACCAGCTGCTTCGAATCTGGATCCTGGCTCTGGTGGCTCGCTGCGACTGGACATCCAATCTGGAACCTCGCCTTAACCTTATTCTATAGGGTTTAGGGTTTAGGGTTTAGGGTTTAGGGTTTAGGGTTTAGGTATTGAGCCGTGCAATAATAAGCAGAACCCTGGAGTACGGAACCCCAACCTTCGAACCCCTGTAAAGTAGAACCTCGAACATTTTTGGCCCCACTCCATGGCCTGCCCAAGACTGGAACTCTTCAAGAACACAACAAGCCTCAGCAACACCAACCCCTACACTAGAACCACTTATATACTCGCTTTATAATTATAGTTGGTTACCGAATAAATAAATAAATAAATAAATATATATATATATATCTATCTATCTATCTATCTCCGTGCAATAAGCAGAACCCTGGAGTACGGAACCTTTCCAACCTTCGAACCCCTGTAAAGTAGAACCTGGAAAACTTTTTGCCCCACACCATGGCCTGCCCAAGACTGGAACTCTTCAAGAATACAACAAGCCTCAGCAACACCAACCCCTACACTAGAACCACTTATACTCGCTTTATAATTATAGTTGGTTACCGAATAAATATATCTTATATATCTAAATAATACATTTTATTGGGTGCTTGTTCTGGACCCATTATATTGACTGACTGTTTGTCATTGGTGACATGTAGTTTACTACCTAATTGTCGTGCTTGTTGTAGACTGTACTGCCACATCTTCTTGAATCGCTACAAACATATGATCTGTGTCACGACGAGAAACATGCATGGTTCGATCTACGTATAATAACATGTAGATTTCCCTATATGCAACATCTTGTTAACCTAGCAGGTACACACGAGGTTTGGGTATCAAGTAGAACAAGCACACACCTGTGTTGTATAGATGCATACAAGTATGCATGCATTATTTATATTATCGTGTCGGACAGTCAAGACCATGTGCAACGACGACCTGCGTGCGGGATACTCGAAGAAATCTTTGTCGTGGCCTATATGCATGGCCTACACAGGTGGCTGAGCTTTGTAGTTAGAGAGAAGCACAAACGTGGGGAGGGTCGGACAGGTATTTATCAACCTAGGCAAAGAAGGGTCCGGTTGTTCATTGGGCGGGGCCCTAGGAAGTTAGATATGATTACGTACAGAATATGTTGATAAGCCCGACACCAGGTCCACTCGGCACAGCTTGGCGGTGCTCCATTAAAAAAACGATCTCGTAGGCGACGGCCAGCAGCGAAAGCAAACCGGTGCTGCTGAGAATACAAGCCTCGGCCCTAGAAACCCCAAGTCCTCGAAGCCCTTTGTTCCAACACCTTACGTATTACATTCTTTTTAGAGAAGCGGGACTAACAAGCAATGCCAGAGAAGCTTCTAGTCCTATCTACACACCCCAAAGCCAAAAACCCTCAACGTCAAACCTATTTAAGTTTCAGGTTGCTGGGGTGACGGGCTTTTCCAATAATACAGCGGCATGCAACAAGGCAATATAGTACTAAGTTACATGCGGTCGGGATGGGAGGGTACAAGGCATGGACTTCACGGCTATTGTTCCTAGACTTATTGCGATGTAGAACAGTTTTTTTTATAACCCCGGAAATACAGTGTTCTGGTTCTGCACAAGCACCATCCACAAAAACCAGCACTAATCGTTCTTCGATTAGGCATAGTAAGCATACGAACTATATTCATTATATGCATATAGTCTACGGAAACCCTGCACCGGCTGCCTAGCTGTACATGCTGCTGCCTCTTGGTCAGAAAGAAAAGCTGCTCTCCACATGGGACTGCGGGGCTAGGGCTTGTTATATTTCGGGCATTGAAACTATTTGGGCGGTGTTACGGTTTACTATGGTAGCGGGGCCGACCACGGCCACACGGCTCTCTGAAGAGTTGAGCTCGAGCAGTGGCTTTTGGTTTAGGGTTTCGGGAGGACTAATATATTACTTATATAAAGGGTGTTCTTGCGACCTCTGGATGAGAGGTTCCAGACATCTTCAGGTTTAGGGTGCAGGGTTTGGGCATTGGGTCTCGGGTTTCCTAGTACCAGGCACCACCCAATAGAAGCATAGCGGAAGCAGTGTGTGCAAAACGAGGCCCAGGAAGTTGAAACCTCCAAGCCATAAACTTAAATATATACGAACCTAGCGGGCCAAGGGTTGTCGGTAGCTACTGTAGTACGGCTGCAGGGCTATATGTAGGTGTAGTCAGCATAGTTAATCTATTAAAATCCGGTGCAGCTGGAGCTCACTCCTGAAAGCCTCGTAGGTTCATTTCATAAAACCCTAGCCAAAGCCTTGCCCCCCGAAAACCAATCCATTCCCCTAGAACCCCCAGAGTGCTCACAGCGGGAAACCGATTGGGCTCAAGGTTTGAGGCTGCGGGGTATTTGGGTCTTAGGGGCCCTAGCATTAAGTTCGTGCGACATAAACTGATCGGTTACTCCCCCCGGAGCACATCTGAGGCTTCGAGGATGCAGTTCCGATTCTTCTTGGAGGACCTGTGGTCGTATCTAGCTTAGAAGTGTTAGGGTGTAACAGGTGTCCAGGGCACGGCTACAGCACAAAACACACTAAACATTTCTGTTCCTAGTGTAGATCATCTTCGTTGTGCGTGAGCAGCTCGTTGGCGGCTGAGCCCAGCCGCTCGAAGCCACCTGAGGTTGCACGGGGCACAAAGCTTAGGGCTTAGGATTGGTGGGCTTTAATGGTTGCGATTTTTGAGGTTAAGGTCAGGGTCTGGTTTCTTTTCCCTGGCTCATAGCTTAGGATTCAGTCCGTTTCTGGTTCGGCACTATCTAGTTAAACTACCCAAATGAGTTTCTTATCGCTTGCGGGGAGCCTTCCAATGTCGGATCCATAGCCTTCTCGTCCTCCTCTTCGCCGCCCTCCTCGTCGTCGTTGTCCTCGTCCTCATCATCGTCCTTCTTGTTTGTCGCCGGCGGCGAAGGCCTTATCTCTGCCCGGTCCCAAACCCAAAGCATTACAAACCGCAAACCGGCACCCAACCAAAAAAACAACAAACACAACCAAGCCTCGCCAGCGGAAAACCCTCTAGCTTCTGCTCGTTGACATACTCCCAAGACATGGGCTTCTTCGCCCAGTCGTGTTTCACTTCCTCGGCGTGCTTCAGCAGGCTGTCTCGGCATTGCTTGAAGTCGATCTCGGCACTGTTCAGGTTCATGTTCTCGTAGCACATGGCCATTGTCTGCAACACATGGGAAGCCTCAACCGTTCCCAGTGCTGCGTCCGCTTTCAAGACGTACTGCATTTTCTGCCTCCATGGGCCCGCCGAAGGACCGAAGCGGTCCTCTTTGCACTCCAGCTTGAGGATCGGGTGCTTCGCCCCCTGGCTGGCATACTTCACCCGCACAGACTCCAGGAGGAAGTCCTGCACGGGTCTCGGCTTGCCCGCCTCCTTCGCCTTCGCCTTGGCCTTTTTTGTTGGCACCTGCTTCACATCGCCCAGTCGCGGCAGTGCCGCCTGCTCGCCTTTGTTCTTGATGTCGTCGGGCACCAGGTGGGGAACTCGCCAAAGTCGTCCGCTCTCAAAACGGACCACGACTTCGTCGCCCTCCACGTACGGACTGGAGGACATCTCATCCTTGCACACGGCCTTCTCGTGCAGGTTGGACCAGGTCACCTCGTCCGTCGGCTTCGGCTTCTTGTCCTTGTTTGGCTTCGGCTGCTTCGTCTTGTCGCCCTTTTTCGTCGGCTTCGGCTTCCTTTGGCTTGGCTTTGGCCGCTCGTCCTTCTCGTTCGCCTCGTTCTTCGGCTCGTTCTTCTCGTCGTTCTTCTCGTCGTTCTCCTCGTCGTTCTCCTCGTCGTTCTCCTCGTCGTTCTGCTTCTCGCCCAAGCCAGGAAATCGCAAAGCCGATCTCCTGGGCGGCCCTGGCGTCGGCGATGCATAGCCTGAGCTGCAGATAAGGATTTGGCCGTTGAGTTATGGTGTGGGCTGATGGGTTTAAAGGTTTGGAATAGAGTCGGTTGGGTCTAGGGCTAAAGTCTTCTTGGCTTCGGTCGGGGATCAAAGATTCGGTGGGTTCATAGAACGACGGGGTCGAACTTCAAGGTTTGGGGTTCATTAGAGTGTGTATCGGGGGTTAAAGATGGTGTGGCGTGGGTGTAGTATTTATGAGTATAGTGTGCTGGCTACATAAGGGCTTTAAGTTAGGTGCGAAGGGAAGCTTTAAGGCTTGGCGTGTGGGATCCAGGGGGCCAAACTTTGAAGTTCACCGGGCGGCTCGTGCACGGCCTCGATGGATCCAAGCTAGTCTACAGGATCAAGGACTTTACTATATATTAAGTTAGTTTATTGGTGGGGCTTATCGAGCGGATCGGCCGTAGTTGGCGATGTTTTCGGGCTTCAGGGACAGGTTACATAGTTTGGGAAAACCCGAAACCCTCAAACCCGAAACCCTAAACCCTCAAACCCTAAACCCGAAGCTCCAACTCCACCCTGGGCCTCAAACCCGAAACCCTAAACCCTCAAACCCTAAACCCGAAGCTCCAACTCCACCCTGGGCCTCACCGAAAACTAGGAAATCGAATAACAACCACTGGAAGGTTGGGGAACCCTACCCCTGAAACCCACAAGCTTAAAATTTCTCGCTGTCCAAACAAGGATATATCAATGGATCTCTGGGATGGAAGACCGATGAGTAACGATCCCTGAATGCAGCTCGGATTGAACGTCCTTTTCCTATGCTGATGCGACAGCGTAAACAAAGAACGGCCCTTCAATCTTGGATGTGGATTCTCCGCCTGCAGCTTGGTTCCTACAGTGCTCGGAATGTTCGTAACTGCTTATCAAAGCAGCTTCCAGAAATCCAGCTGCCTCACCGTGCTGTACTATCGCCAAAAGCCTCATGCTTTTAAACAACTTCGGTATCTCGCGGCAATATGCATGCTCAGCCTGTCGCCACCGGTAAGCAGGGTCGGCCGTGAGGCCAATCTTGTATGTAAGCGACGACGATTCAAGAATCCGAATGCGACCCACAGCGTGACTCAGCACTTTTGAAGCCAACTGGTTCGCTGCTGAGAACTCGATCAAGATTGTAGGGTCCTGTAGTATCGCTCGCATGACGGGTTCAAGTCGGGGCATCCAATGAAAAGAAATCGGCACCAGCATTTTGTAATAGTTTGCACTGACAAGCTTCTCACGACGACCATTCACCATCATGAACGGCCCTGGGCCATCACCAGCAGCAACAGCATTGTCGTTGTAACGGCTCGCCGCCGATTCAAAGCGCTTAAACGTCCTTTCAGTGCAAAATTCGGCACCCGCCTCCATAAGACCCCGCAACGAAAGCTGCGACGGGTCTCCCGAACAATCGTCCTCGTGCAACAGCCGTTCCAGCGAATCGACTTCCATATCATCAGCATCACGATCACGATTTTTATTGTTCGTATTGGCTGAACCAGCACTGCAAGAAGCTTCGCCAGGCGTGCACAGTTCTACCAGCCACTCATGATCAGAATCAGAGCCATTCGCCCCTTCACCAGGACCCGACATCAGCCCATCAAGAAGCACTTGTGTGGAATCACCAAAACCCCACAACTACTAGTCCAGAGACCCTGCACCAAGAAGCATATGTATCCAATC